TCCTTCAGCCCGGATGACACCTACATCCAGCCTCTAAAGCAGGTGTTCCAACAGACATGAGTGCTCAAGTCTGCATCAGAGCAGATGCCAAGCCAACAGTGTATTTTGTAAAACCGCGAGAGTGTGGCGGGACGCTCAGGGCTGCAGACAGTTTCTATGAGGGAGACCGCCAGGGAGGCTCAGGGCACCTGCGAGCTGCAGGCGCAGGGCTCACCCACAGAGGGCCAGCGTCTGCGTGACTGCACTCCAGACGACTTCCACTTCCTTCCTTGTTCCCAACGCTTTCTAAAATGTGCCCTCCTCTAGTAACAGGGGGAAAATCCAGCCTCTGTCACCCAGTGTCACGCACGCCACCCAGGGAGAGGCCACGTGAAGAGGCAGGCACACGCCAGGGCTCTCCAGAGACCACGAGCGGCCGGGGCCTGGACAGACCACCCCTCAGCCACAGGGGCACCAGCCTGCCCACACCCCGCCTCCGACCACGGAGAACAGACTCCCATTCCTGACACTCAGCTTGCAGACCTTGTCCCCGCGGCTGCGTGTGCACAGATACGGACCATGAGCTGCACATCGCGCTCACGCTTAAAGTTGTAAGGGTTGTTTTAACGCTGTTTTTAAAACCTACAAGAACAGCGAGTGGAATAACATAAAGACGGTTTCTTGGCTGCCCAGCCTCCCCGGCTCCAACAGGCCGGTCCTCGTCCAGGACGGCCAGTTACCCATCTTGACTTCCTCCCCTGGCACCGCGGGCAGGCTCCAGGGCACTGAGAAAACAGCCTGTCTGGCCTGCGCCTTTGCTGCTGTCTTTGCAAGATGCTCTGCCCCTCCCGTCGCTGCAGCCACGGCCCCCCAGCCCAGCCGCCGAGCCCCTGGAGCCTTGCCTGAGAGGGTGGGCTACAAAGTCCCCACGCAGATCCCAGCACCCTTGGGAAGCCCTAGAAGCAGGAGCACCAAAGCGGGAAGCAGAACTCCAGGCACCCAAGCAGCCAGCACACTGGCAGGCCTCCAGCCCCTCAGGCCCACACGGGATGTCCCGCGTCCCCTGCAGGCTCGCCAATGGCACTTCTGTGGCTCCACACGTGGGCCCTTGTCTTTCCCTCCCCGACACCCCAGACAGTGCATGTCCTCGCAAGGTGACAGGAACTGGCAGGTGAGGATGCAGGCTGTCCCCTTCATCGCAGGGGAAGATCTGACTCCCAGAAATAGCATGGGAGGAGCGCCCCACACAGGCCCTGCACTGAGCCCAGCAGGTGCTAGTCACTCATTCAGTACCTACAGCCCTGGGGCCACTTAAGTGACCTCCTACCTTCCCAGCCCCCGCCTTCTGACATCAAAGTAAGTCATTAAGCATATGTTTCAACACTTTTCCACCTGGGGAATGTGTCAAAGTCACAGGCACCATGACTAGGGAGCCCGTGAACAGGGTTAGTATATCCTTGCTGGCCGCTGTCACCTTCCCTTGGGGGCTCACCTGGCAGTACCCCACACCTTGGTTGTGGCGCCCATAGGCCACCAGCACGTTGTACAGGGTCTTTTGTAAACAGGGATCCGCGCTTTTCCGGAATTTCACGTTGTCCGGGAAGGTCCTGTTCATATCTGCAGGGAAATTCACAACACAGGATTACCCAAGACTGGCCTGTGATGTAACCCTCGTGTCTACCACAGGGGGCACCCCGAACCCCACCTGGCAGGTGTGAGCAAAGGTTTCGACCCTGGTCGCCCTTTGTGGACAAGCCCCTGCCACGTCCACGGTTGAGGCCACAGCAAAGGGAGTCAGGACTGAAGAGGAGGGTATCCCGCCTCTCCTCACAGCCCCCGCCATGCAGCCTGTCTGCACCCCCCTCCCAACACCCCCCACCCCAGCCAGGGGGTTGTTTAACTCTAGGACCACAGGCAACACAAAACTGGAAAATCTTTCCAGTTGTGGAAAGGCAGAACACCCCGAGAATCCCTCAGAGACAAACGGCAAAACCGGACACTGAGAAGTGAATAAACTGTCTGCTCATCAGAACCTGCGTCCTCCTCACCGGCGCTGTGGGAACCTCCCGCGGACCTGACCCTGATTCTGTGAGCTAGCCCACACACGGGCAGAAGGGGGGAGGAGTGGGTGCATGACACAAGTACTTCTTTTTTCTGACCTAGTGACCCCACTTGGATTAGATTAGTGGTGTGTCTGCCGCTGGGCTATGGCTGATGACTGGAACGGACCCGCTGTGCAGGCCCCTCGGCCCCCACACAGCTTTCGGGCAGCGCTCCTGGGCCTCCCTCTGGTCTCCGAGCCGCACCTCTGCTTATAAAAGAACCGATCTAAGCAGAACAGGAAGTATTAGTGCCTCAAAGGACGTTATTTGCCATTGTGTGTTTGTTTACAAAAACTTTTTTTTCTTGGAATTCTAAATATCCCAAAAACTTAGAATCCACCAGGAGTTTAGTGGTGTTTTGGTTTTGGTTTTCTTGTTTGTTTTTTTTACTAATTCAGACTCTGAGTGACCAGTCCCAAGTTTTTCCCCGGGACAGCCCCTCCTTCCCACCTCAGAGGTGGGTGGGACAGGGACGTCCAGTCTGCTCATGCACCCTATGAATGCTCCACTGCGCTGTCCCTGCAGAGCAATTTCTCCAGACCCCTCAAGAAAACAGACAGAACGACGATGGTCCAGCAGGTCCGCTGCTGGGCACATGCCGAGACTGGAAAGCAGGGACTCAGAGAAATCTGCGTGTAGCCATGCTCGTAACAGCAAACCCACAAAAGGAGAGGCAGTGACCCCAGCGCCCATCAGCGGAGAACAGAACAGACCAACAAAACAGGGTCTGTCCGCACAGCCAACAGGACCCAGCCCTGAAAAGGAAGCATTCTGACGCCTGTTGCCATGTGGATGTGCCTCCAGGGCCCCTCACCAGGGTAAGCGAGCCAGACACGACAGGATGGTGGGCTGGGGAGAGGCTGGCACTCCATGGGGACGGGGTTTTGGTTTGGGAAGGTGGAACAGTAAATTCTATTATGCATGTTTTACCACAATAAGACATTTTTATCCAAAAACACCGGCATTAAAACAGAGCCTTTCAGTTCATTTTTCAAACCAACAGCAACACTCTGTTTTCCTTGACACACGTGGCCTCTGCGCAAGGGACCCCCTCCCCAGGCTGGGGACACTCCCCAGTCTCACCGCCAACAGGGAGTCCCACCTCTCAGCTTTAATTATTTTATATTTAAGGGTGTATTTCTCAAAAGCAAAATCAGACGGTCAGTCACACTTCCTAAGAATCTAAATTATTCAGTTTATAAGGGTTAAACGTTTGTTTTGAGCACTTGGAATATCTAAGAGCTCGTGAGTCTGTGTGGTCACTGAGAGTGCCTGGGGCACCGTCGGCACCCAGAGCTCGACACCAGCCACACATCCCCACGTGTGTCCCTAAGTCCCAGGGCGCTGCCATCAGCACAAAGCCCTCCCAGCGATTACCCTCCGGTCACGACTGCCGGCTCAGAGCCTGCAGCAAGGTCTTCTTGCAGAAACCGGCCCTGCCCTTGCCCCTGCCCTTGCCCCTGACCTTCCCAGCTGGCTGGCGTCTAGTGTTTGCCGAATCAGTGAAAAACACTGTTCTCCCCTCACGAATGTTCAAGGTTTGATTTTCCCATAAGAAAAATAAAATTCCAAATTAAAAGCAGTGGGCAATCTGTAACAGCGCAAGTTCCCTCCTGGGGGGCTGCGTGCCCCCCGCGCCTGCCCGCGACTCACCTGTCCGGATGGCCTCCTCCAGCCTGCCGCTGCACTCTCCCTGCAGTAGCCGGTGGTAATAGCCGGGGTTCTGGTCCATTCGGGCCTGGGCTCCGCTCACCCCCATCCAGACGTGGGCCCGGTGCTCCAGGGGGACACCTTTCCGGATATAGCGCTTCACTGAGATGGAAAGCAGGGGCTGCAGTCAGGGACAGACCAGCGTGGCCTGGGGTCAGAGCCTGGCAGAGCCTGAGAGCAAAGGGCGCGACCTCAATGCTTTCGCCTGGCTTCTCCCATGTCAAACATGAGAAGAGCAGAACTTTGCACATGCCCACCCGGATGGCTGCGTGCACTCCTTGCAGACCGTTCTCCTGCACGGGGCAGCCCCCCCCCACCCCGGCCCCCGTCCTCCCTCACCGTCAGCACACCGTGCGGGGGCAGCGGGCCGGGCCCCTGGGGCCAGGATCAGTCACTGCAGCCCAGGGCGGCCCCACAAGCTCCACACACAGGAGATACCCGGAAGGCCGGAGGCACAGAAGCTGCACTAAGTGAGGGGACATGAGGCAGGAAGCAGAAGCGAGGGCCAGAGGGACAGCTGTGGGCAGGGACAAAGGCACTGGTGCATGGTCCAGCCCTGGAGGTGACAAGGGACTGCAGGGTCCCAGGCTGGGAGCCTGTGTGACCCCCTGGCGGGGGGGCTCAGCGGCCGGTGTTTGTGTCCTGTTCTGCACTTGACTTGTGTCAATGGAGAGCTACTTCCTTTGGGAGGGATATTTTACTGAAAATAAATACATGAGAAAGGAATCATCGATTGTCTAGCGACCATAGAAACACGTAGGAAAAGAAGCCAAGAACCACAAGCTACCTTAGGTAACAACTTGCTCGCTCGTTTCCCAGGTAAACAGGAAAGATTTGTGAGACGATGTTCAAGCGAATTACAGGAAGCCAGGGGTACAACACCATGCTTTTAATGACCTCAGTTTAACCCTCAAAACCGTTCATCGAAGGAAATACTCAAAGCTTTATTATTTTCCTTCCATATTACATTACAAATACCATTTTTATTTTCTTTTTTAATGTTTATTTTATTTTTGAGACAGAGACAGAGCAAGAGCGGAGGAGGGGCAGAGAGAGAGGGAGACACAGAATCCAAAGCAGGCTCCAGGCTCCGAGCTCTCGGCACAGAGCCCGACGCGGGGCTTGAACTCACAAACCGGGAGATCACGACCTGAGCTGAAGTCGAACGCTTAACCAATGGAGCCCCCCAGGCGCCCCACAATACCATTTTTAAAAAAAGAAATGCATTAGGGGTGCCTGGGTGGCTCAGTTGGTTGAGCATCCGACTTAAGCTCAGGTCATGATGTCACAGCTCGTGAGTTCGAGCCCCGCATTGGGCTCTGTGCCGACAGCTCGGAGCCTGGAGCCTACTTTGGATTCTGTGTCTTCCTTCCTCTCTCTCTCTACCCTCTTCTGCTCATGCTCTGTCTCTGTCTCAAAAAATAAACAAACATTTAAAAAAATGCATTTTAAGAAAAAACAAAAGGCCATACAATCAAAGAAAGTCCACGATCTGCTACAAGGAGAAAAGCATCTGTGGCGCCAGCTGTGTATCACAGAAAACCGTGGCAGGAAGAGCCGCCACGGAAAGCACTGATAAAGCTCCGCTAACTCGCAGTCTGCGCTAACCCACCACGGATGCGGCCTCAGCGGAAGCTTCCAGAGGGCGCATGAGGGCAGGAAAGGCCCAGCAGTTGTGTGCGGGATGAGGGGCGGAAGCCACAGGGAGTAGAGACCCTCTGGGGCATCCCCACGCTGGTGAGGTCACGCGAACCAAGGACACTACCACTGGGGCCGCCTTGCCTCCAGCCTGTCGCGCTTTCCGCCGGAGCCGGCAGGGGTCTCCGGCCGCAGGGAGCCAGGCAGATGCTGTGGCCACCCCCGGGGGCCAGTCCGCGGCCAGGGATGCCTAACTTGAAGACGTGCAAAGGGGGGACACGCAGACCCCAGGCTGCCTCCAGCACAACTGACGCCTGGAACCACAACAATCCCCAGGGGGACCAGAGGAGCCGCCGAGTCAGGGGCTCACCTCCGACCTCAGGCCCCACTCACAGGCAGCGGAGCATAAGGAAACTCCAGAAATAACCACAGGAGCAGAGCTGACTGCGTTTCAACAGCGTCGCAAAGGAAAGTCTTGCGGGCAGAAGGGGCAAAACAGTCTTTCCGATGAAGGCTCAAAACAGGGCACGAGGGAACCGGGTCACTGCGGGCGGAGCTCGGCCACGGGGGTGGGGGGGTGAGACCCACACTCGGCTCCAAGCCCACAACCCTGCTTCAGGAAAGCCTACTGCTCACAGGTGCTTGCACGGCTGTTTATACCATCGGCTCAAAGGTCCTGCAGCTGCCGAACGTGGTCCCGGAGAGCGAGGTGTTCCTCAGCAAGGAGGGAAGAAGGACGGGATCCCCCAGATCAGGGCACAGGGGGAGCCAGCCTCACAGGCCTGGGGCCGTGGGGCCCGCTGGCAGGACACTCTCAGAGGCCCCAGCGCCCAGGCGGCGCACAGGGCCCATAGGGGCAGCAGGAGCGAGTGTTTAAGGACATGGGCTGGTTTCAGTCTTGAGGGGACACGAACCTCCCCATGAACTCACAGAAGTATAACTAATAAGAGCATATTTCACTACAAATTAAATTTGTAAATAGAAAAAAAAGGCACCTGTAAGATGCTTAAACGCCTCACTGGAGTCGGACACTGGGTTCTACTGGGACCCGCAGGTCCCGCCTGGCAGAGGCCTCAGTTTCCTCGTCAGACGGGGGTGAAGCACGGGGCCCCGGCCTGAGATCCAGGTGGCCGGCCTGAGATCCAGGCGGCCGAGGAGGCTGAGCTGTGTCAACAGCTTCCAGGGACAAAGGCTGTTGCCACTGACCCCTTCCTCAGGGCAGGACTTGTCCGGCAGCATTCCTGACCTTGGGAAGATGAGGGGGGCATCTCTTTAAACAAGGTGGACCCCAGACAAATCACTTCCAACTGTCTGTCCCAACAAAGTTAAGCAAATCCCTGTATTTATTGGTATTTGCCTTTGGAAAGAGGTGTTTGCAACTTAATTCTAACTTAGATGCTGCTGACATTTGCAGCTACTAGGAAAGAGCTGAGACCCTGCAGAAGGCAGTTCAGCATCCGCCCTCAGACGGGACGTGAGCTGGAGCAATGGCTGGGCCAGGGCAGGACTGAATTCGTTTTTCTAGGCTACGGGAGAAGGATCGACCTGTCTCACGTGCTCCTGGTGGGTATTTGCTATGGACAAAAAAGGAAACAAAGAGGAAACACTGGTTGTGTCCACATGTGGCAGAATCGGGCCAGTGAGTTCTGGTGGCCACCAAGAGACGTGCTGATGCCAAGATTCGGAGGTGACCATGTTATTGGTGACAGGAAGGCAGGCATCCAGACAAAAGTCCCCCAAAACAGAAAACTACACAGGACAACGAAGCAACAAGACCCGGTCACTGAGGTCACAGAACGATGCCCACCAAGGCCCTTCCCCCCTGGGATGTCATGGTCCCTGCAGGACAGTCAGCTGAGTGTGACTACAGAACTGGACTCTCATTTCTGGAATAACTCGTCCACTCCTGTCTGTGCCACACAGCCACTCCCACAGAGCCGTGCAGGTGCTGACAGGCTCCCCGACCGTCCTGCCCCGAAACCACACCAGCACCAGCCACGACACCCGGGGCCACTGAACCCTATGAACCACACACCTCTTGCAGACTGACCTGTGCTTCTGTTTCCTGAGGGAACACCAGGCTGCCCTCCCCCAGGCCCGAGGCTCATCGCAAAGCTGACACTCTGGCTTCCAAACCTGTTTTGCCCCTCTCTTTACCACAGTCACAGTCTGTTATGTAAGTCAAGGAAATGTTAAAACAAAAAGAGAATTCTTTCAGTAAACCAAACTGAAATTCTTAGAGCTCACAGACACCAGTGCTCAAAGAAAGTAGGAGCAGAAACCAGATAAGACCTTTGAACCAGGTAAGACCTTTGAACCAGGGAAGACAACTGGAAAAGACAGGAAGGGTGAGCATCTGGAAGGTTCTGCACGCTGAACAGAACAGATGCCGGAAAAGAGACACTTGGCGCCACATGCGGCTTAGGACAGAGATGCTGAGGGTTCTCCAAAGGGAAGGACAGGGAAAGGCTAGAACCAGATGGTAACACCACAGACAGGGCCACTGAGGCGCACTCACGTCTTAGTGACTGCGTGCTACCAGCCTCCGGGTCCAGGGTCAGCCACGGGAGGCTTCTCCTGAGTTCCCGCCAACTCCCGGCCTGCGGGGCCAGCCGCCACATTTGCACACGTGCGTGGGAGGCGCACGGTGCTGTCAGCAATGGCCTCTGCCTGAACCAACAGCTGGGCCAGGAGGAGAGCCCCTGGTACTTCATGTGATGCAGATTTTCACTATGGATCCAAATTAGCTTTACTTTTATACACTTGTATTTTTTAAAAACAAAAGACCAATCAACTCTTAAGAATAAACACAAAGGAGAATAAAGGCAGACATGCCGATGGAAACAGAGGCGATGCAGGGATGGGCGCTGGGGGATGATCCCTGCAGGGAGCGCACAGGGCGCTGGCAGCATCCAAGGTCTGCCTGGCAACAGGGGACCAGCCTGAGGCCCCTCCCGGCCCTGCGGACTGTGTGAACTGCTAGTTCACCTGAGTCGCTCCTGAACACTCCCCCAGCAGTAACAGCCCTGAGGAGGGCCCCTGGTCAAGGGAGAGGCAGGTGGGTGGTGGGGCCCAGAGTTGAGAAAGAGCCTCTCTCCCTCCTCCCTGAGCGCCCCACCCCCAAGATCAACCTGTCCCCACCAACCCTGTGCAACTGCACTATGTACTGGGGCCGCTCTGGGCCTTAGTTCACCAACCCCTTTAAAAGCAAAACTTGACCTTGTCACACCCTCTTGCTTAAAAACCCTTTTACTGGAGCCCCTGGGTGGCTCAGTCAGTCGAGCGTCCACCCAACATTTAATTTCGGCTCAGGTCATGATCCCAGGATTGTGGGATGCAGCCCCACATCAGCACGCTTGGGATTCTCTCTCTCCTTCTGACTCTTTACCCCACCTGAACTCGAGCTCTCTGTCTCTCTCTCTCTCTCTCAAAAGTGAATTAAAAAAAAACAAAAAACTCTTACAGCTGGCCTCTCTGCCCAGTCATGTGATGGAGCCCTGGGCCCAAGACCAGAACGCTCTCATTACGTCCCCTCTACCGGTCACACAGCTCTGTCCCTGCCGCTGACCTCTGCCCTCACCGTTCTTGGTCACCAAAGCCCTATCTCAGAAAGCCCTACCCTTATCTTGAGTCCCGGAAGCATACACCTCCCAAGGGCCTCACCACATTCGGGCAGGTCCCCACCGGCTCCTTATCTGCGGCCTGGGGAAAACACTCCATTCATTCAACAAACGTTGAAGCAAGTGTAGAGGCCAACGCTGGGGCAGGGAGGGGAATGTGATTCCCAGAGGAAAGCAAACCACACCAGAAACCAGACGAGCAGCCAGAGGTCAACACAGGCGGGACAGGGCAGGGGCCGGCTTCTGTGGCGGTGTGGAAGCCTGCCCTCCTAGACCCGCAGGAGGGAGAGCGCCAGGGAGGGCAGGCCTGGAGGAGGCGCCAGGCCCACAGAGAGCTGGGCTGGGCAGGCCACCGGGCAGGGGCTTCCGCGCTGAGGCAGGGAGGGGGGGGAGGCGGGGAGGGACGGAGACCCCGCCCCTCAGAACCAGCTCTGGCCGGTCCGCGGCCTCCGACCCACCTGTACCGCTCTTCTGGACACCTCCGCCCCCCTTCAAAAGTTTGGACCATTTCATCGCTCTTCTAGTGAGTATCACCAGGTAGGCGGAAAAAAACTCCTCATAAGCTGCATAATCAAAGTCTTCGGGCCTTTCAAACCCGTACGGATCGATCCTGCAACGAGAAGAAAAGGAACCTGTAAGCCCTAAATAAAGTTTCGCGCGCGCACTGGGTCCCCGCGGGGACGAGGCCGCGTGCGCGCGTGGGGGTGGCGACGCGACGGGAACCGCAACCGACCCGAGTGCGGGGGGGGGGCGCGCCCCGGCCCTCCCCGACTCCCCACCCACTCGCACCCCACAACCCAGGTCCCCATCCCGCACCCCACACCCCAGGCTGGGCGAGGCGCGCCCCGGCCCCCACGCGCCCACCTGGGGACCCGGTCCCGGGGGCGCCCCGCAGGCTCCATGCCGGGAGGGCGGGGAGGGGGCGCCCGGGGGCGCGGGGACCGCGGGGCGCACGCCGAGGGGTACGAGTCTCCCTCCCTGGACCGGAGCGCGTGTCCTTCCGCCGGGCCGCGGACGCGGGAGGCGGGGCGGGGGGCGGGGCCCGAGGGATGAGCAGCGGGAGGGAGAGGGGCGGGGCTGCACCTGCTCCCGCGGCACCCGCGGAGGGCGGTGTCCGGAGCTGCTGGAGCTGGGAGCGTGGGAGGTGTTAAGCCCGGAGGGAGGGGTGCGGGATGCGAGGCTGAGGTCGGGATCAGGGGGCCACGGGGGGCGGTCTGGAGCGCAAGGTGTGCGCGCCTCCCACCCACCCCCCCCCAGGCTGGCTGGGTGGGTGGGCGGCATTTCCCGGTCACTCCGTTCAGGCCTCCCGGGCTTTGAGCAAAGGTGGGAGATAGAGTTGAGGTTCTCCTGAGATACCTTCAAACTTCAGTGCCTGGCCGGTCCGAAGGTCAGAGCTCTGACCTATGAGCCCTATTTTAATTTTTCTTGTGCCGGAAAAGAGCAAGTCTTACTTTTCACTTGTTTTTTTCAGTCTTCACTTCAGACCTGAGAACAGCGTATAATCCCTGCACCCACCTGGGGACCTGCCCTGTTCCTTCCTGCCTCCCCAAACCCGGCTGGGGAGGGGGTCCCGGGTTCCAGTCCTGCCCTGACTGCCTGGGAAAGCCCCCACCCTGCCAGGGGTCACATGGTCACGGGAACTGGCTGGCTGTGCACCACCCTGCAGGATGGTCATCTGGGGTGACTGGGGGTTCACAGCTCAGGGGGCACCCCCACAGGAGGCAGAACGGGGGGGTTCCCTATTCAGCCACCCCTCCAATAACGTGTTCAGAATCTTGGGCGTGTGAGTCAAGGCCAGGTGCTGTCTGCAATCTTGTTCCTCAGGGCGAGGGGGAGGGGAGTCACCAGCAAAACTAAAGGCATCAAGGCACGCCCTGAGCAGTCCTGGGGCCCTGACGCCCTGAGCCCTGCAGGGGCAGCCCTGGGAGCCAGCACCATTACTCTCCTGAGATTTCAACACTGGGGCGTGAAAACCTTGTCAAATCAGGGAGACCACAGAAAATTTGCCAGAACTATGTTGTGAATTTTGGTTTACAAATGTGGTGAGAAAGTGGGTATTTAAGGTTCTTTGAATTTTGGATTTAAGGCACTTCGTAGCCTCAGCCCTCCTCACCCCAAGGGTCCTTTTTGAAACAATGAGCCCAAGCAGGAAGACGCTTTCTCTGAGCCCCAGAGCCCAGTCCACCTGTGACCAGCCCTGTCCGAGGAAATGCCTTTCTGGGGCACGTGTGTACTTTCTCGTGAGAAGTGCCTGTGGGCCACGCAGAGACGTGGCTGCGCCCCCCACACGTCTACCCGAGCTTTACTGGACCTGCGGGCAGCCGACACGGCTCAGAGCTGATCCATCCAGGGCTAAGCAGAGAGCCTGCAGAGGAGCCGGCAGGAGCCCCCCCCCC